TCTCCCCTGGGAAAGCCCTGGGATGACACCCATAATTAGCCAAGAAGGGGCTCATCCCTGTGGACACATTCTCGGCATTGTTGTAGGCAAATTCCGCCAGCGCCAACTTTTCTACCCAGTCATTCTCTCTGTCATTGACATAACACCTCAGGTATTGCTGGAGGACACCGTTTGCTCTTTCCGCCTGCCCGTTGGTTTCAGGGTGCCGGGCAGTCGAAAAGTTGACCTCCACCTGCAGTAAGCTCATGAGCTTCCTCCAGAACCTGGAAGTAAATTGTTTTCCTCGGTCTGAGACCACCCTCAATGGCACCCCGTGCAACCTAAAAATGTGTTCTACAAATAACTTTGCTGTCTCTTCCGCCGTGACTGCATGCGAGCAAGCTACAAAGTGGCACATCTTTGTTAGTAGGTCTACCACCACCATGATGGCTGTTTTCCCTTTGGACTTCGGCAGATCAGTCATAAAATCTATCGACACTGCCTCCCAAGGTCGTTCTGGTGTTGGTAAGGGTTCTAATAGCCCCGCCGGCGCCCGCCTTTCCCTTTGGCTCGCTGGCACTGCTCGCACCCTCTTACATACTCACGTACATCCTCCCTCACCTTAGGCCACCAAAATTCCCTGGTGACCAACCACATGGTTTTGTGTTGTCCAAAATGCCCCGCCGTAGGGCTGTCGTGCAACTGCTTGAGTACCCTCCCCCTTAAGTTTCCTTCAGGGATATACAGTGCCCCTTTGTAATACAAAGCTCCATTTCTTTCCTCGAAACCCCTTGATTCCTCTCCCTCATCCCTAAGACCTCTAAGCTTATTCTGGGCGTATTCATCATTCTCTGTTTCTTCTACCAGTTCTCTTTGTCCCACCAATGCCGCCCCACACACCCAGCGGTCCTCTGGAATGACATGTCTCTCTTCGGGTGCTCCCTACCCCTCCAAATATTCAGGTTTGCGTGAGAGAGCGTCCGCCCTAATATTCTCTGGGCCTGGCACGTAACAAATCTCAAAGTTAAATTTGGAGAATTCCTGAGCCCATCTCACTTGCCGTTGGTTGAGCACTCGTGCCGTCCTCCAATACTCTAGGTTCTTGTGGTCAGTGCACACTTGCACCTTATGTTGTGCGCCAATTAGCAGGTGCCTCCATCTCCGGAACGCCTCATGAATGGCTAGTAGTTCTCGGTCATACACCGTGTAGTTCCTCTCGGATTTGTTCAGCTTTCGCAAAAAAAAAAGCACACGGTCTCCACTCTGACTCCTCCTTCCCTGGCTGGAGAAGCACCGCCCCAACCGCTCTGTCTGATGCATCAGTTTCCACTCTCATCGGTTTTTGTAAATCCACATGCAGGAGCTGTTGTTCCGAGGCGAAGGCCCTTTTAGTTCCTCAAATGCTTGCTCCGCCTCCTCCGTCCAAACGAACTTCTTCTTACTGCTGAGACAGTCCGTAATGGGCGCCGTCAGGTGGGCAAAGTTTGGGATGAACTTACGATAGAAGTTCCCAAACCCTAAAAACCTCTGCACATCCTTCCTTGTTTTGGGTGTTTTCCATTCCAGTACCGCCTGGACCTTGCCGGGATCCATGGCCAACCCCTTGTCAGACAGGCGATACCCCAGGAATTCCACCTCCTTGGTATGAAACTGACACTTCTCCAGTTTCACCCACAGCTGGTTGGCTTGCAGCCTGCTCAACACTTCTCTGACGTCTCTCACATGCTGCTCCTCATTCTCAGAATACACCAACACGTCGTCTAAGAAGGCCACACAATTCTTGTAAAGCAACGGCCCCAGGACGTGGTTCATAAACGATTGAAATGTTGCGGAGCCTGCTTGTAGACCGAAGGGCATAACTAAGTATTCAAATGCCCCTAAAGGGGTGAACATGGTGGTTTTCCATTCATCCCCCTTCCTTATTCGTATCAGGTTGTACGCCCCCTTAGATCCAGCTTGGTGAAAATCTTTCCCTTTCGCACCCTTGTCAAAATGTCGTCAATCCTGGGCATCGGGAAGGCCACTGGTTCTGACACTGCATTTAAGGCCCTGAAGTCACACACCAGTCTCGGCTTGTTCGTGTTTTTTTGTCCACAAAAACACTGGGCTGCCCCCACCGCCCTGGACTCTCTGATGAACCCTCTCTTCAGGTTCTTGTCAATGAACTCTCTTAGCTCCTGCATCTCTCTGTCTGACATGGCGTACAGCTTGCCCACAGGGAGCTGTGCCCCAGGGAGCAAATTGATTTGACAGTCAAAGGCTCTATGCGGTGGTAGTTGGTCAGCTTCCCTTTCGCTGAAGACGTCGCGGAGATCTGCGTATTGTCGTGGTACCTTCACGTTCTCCTTCACTTCAGTCCCTGCTAGGGTGGCTTGGGCCCCTGCCAAAACCTTTCCTCTTTGCAATGTTCTAAGCAATGTGCTGACCCAAAAGAAACCACTCTCTGATGCCAGCCCACCAGCGGATCATGTAACGCTAGCCAGCTCATCCCCAATATAATGGGAGCTCCTCCCAAGGTGGCCACATTAAAAGCTATCAGTTCAGTGTGCCTTGCCACCTTCATTATCATTGGGACGGTCTGCAAGCTGACTTCTCCTCCCAACAGCTCCCTGCCATCGATCGTGGTTACCTGCAGGGGGTTGCTTAAAGGGAGCGTCTGTATCTGGTGTTCAGCTGCAAACTCTTTGCTCATGAAATTGCAGGAGCTGCCTGAGTCCAACAGCGCCTTTATCTTTAGAGGGTGTCCGTTTGGGAGCTCTAGTGTCACTTCTATCACTAGGGCGGGTTTAGGAGGTTCTGGAGTGGGCACTTTCACTGCTCTTTGGCCTGGCTGCTGTGCCCCGACAATGGCAGCCAGGCGTTGGCTTTAGTTGCTCCGGTATTTTTCCTCTCTTCCCTCCACAGCTCCCACCATCCCTTGCCATTCCTTCCTCTGGGGGCAGACTCTGGCAAAGTGCCCTGGCTGTTGGCAGAGATAGCATTTCCGGGCGCCTTTTCCATCCTTCTTTCCCCCTCACTGGGCTTTGAAACTGCGCGCGCGCGCTGTTCCGATTTCCATCGGCTCTGCCGGCGGGACAGTTGGCTCTGGAATTTCTGGAATGCGGAACTCCTTCCAACGTTCCCCTTCCCTTCCCGCCTCTCCAATGCTCTCGCCTCCTGGCGCGCTCCTATGGCCAGCGCTGATTTGGTCAGCTGGTCCATAGACTCCGCCCTGGGCGCCCGGGAAAGTTCATCTTTCACAGCCGAAGAAAGCCCTTCTTCAAAGAGCATTTGAATGGGTTCCGCCGATAAGTCCCACCCCAATCTGTGTATCAGCATGGTGAACTCAGTCCAGTACTCACGTACAGATCGGCTCCCCTGTTTGCAAGCCATTAACTGTCTGCGCACCACTCCCTTTTCAATATCGCTGGAAAACATCAGATCCATGGCGCGAAAGAACTTCATCGTGTCCTTTAAGACGTCACTATTAGCTGCCATCAGGGGTCTAACCCAGTCTCTCGCCCCTTTTCAAGATGCCCAATCACAAAAGCCACTCGTGATTCCTCATCAGGGAAATCATCAAACTGCAGATTGAGGGCATATTGCATTTCTGTCCGAAAGCTATGATAGTCTTTGGGCTCCCCACCAAATTGTTGCACCAATCCTGGTACCTTTCTGGCGAGCTGGGTGGCTTTCTCCCTTTGTCTGCATCTTGAGCCCTCCTCTCCTCCAGCCTCGCCGTCTGCAGCGCCAGCTGGACCTCCAACACTCGGTACCTTTCTTCCAGGCTTGGACCCGCTCCAGCCCCTGCTTCTCCGGTTCCTGCTGGGTTGCTCATTATGCCTTCTCCTGCACAAGCTGCGTTCAAAGACTGTCGGAATGCTGTGATGGGATTATGAGCTGCTTGTGCGTAAAATCGTATTCCCTCAGAGTTTGTTCAAGTCCACAAACCTCTGTCTGTGACTGAGCCCCTCTGACATGGCTCCTCTTAGTCACTAGAAGATTCCGACAGTGGTTGCTTTCGTAATCGCTTCCAACATAAAAGCTCCTTAACGGAAACACGTCTTCTGGACTCTCTGCGTGACAGTTTCCGGCGAGGAGTGGGTGTCGCTACAGGAGGTCCGGAAACCTCACCACTGTTTTCGCTGGAAGTATCTCTGAGCCATCCCCCCAGCTCCCTTTCCCTCAGTTCAGCTTCTCTCCCCTGCTGGTTTCCTCTTCAGCTGCTAAGTCTCTTCCAACCTGTCTGAGCCCTTTCACCTCCCTCAGTTCAGCTTCTCTCCCCCTGCTGGTTTCCTCTTCAGCTGCTAAGTCTCTTCCAACCTGTCTGAGTCCTTTCACCTCCCTTCCTACCGATGGCAGTTCCCTGACAATTTACATATAGGTTTTTTTACCCCAGTGTTTTCATTATAATAAGCAATTATTTTCATGCTCAGCTAAGGTGAAATAGCATGATCAGTCAACAAAGCTAGAAACAGAGTTTCTTATCTCAAGCTGATGCTATCTTTAACACCCCCAATTCAAGAGGTCTCTTACCTTCCCTAAGCCGTACTTATCCTCATTTTTTTTAATCAAAGGATTTTAATTCTTCAGGGAGAAACAATCCAACACACCAAGAACAATTTCCTCATATCAGCTATATCATAGTACAACTAAACAAAAGACCATCCCTCAAAATTCCAGTGGCCCAGTCTTGCAAGCATGGAACCAAGGAGATCCAGAACCTGCAAGTTTAGAATATTTACTTAATACACTTGTAGCTCAACTTACAGTTCCATCATAGAAGTCAAAGTGGCATCCATAAGGAGGAGGAGGAGTTTGGATCTGATATCCCGCTTTATCACTACCCAAAGGAGTCTCAAAGCGGCCAAGATTGTCCTTTCCCTTCCTCCCCCACAACAAACACTCTGTGAGGTGAGTGGGGCTGAGAGACTTCAAAGAAGTATGGCTAGCCCAAGGTCACCCAGCAGCTGCATGTGGAGGAGCGGGGACGCGATCCCGGTTCCCCAGATTACAAATCTTTTGCTCTTAACCACTACACCACACTGGCTCTCGCAAGGAACCTCTATCCAGACACTGAATTAGATCCAGGCCTCCTTATCTTTAGCAAGGTGGCTATACCCTATGCCCTCAGAGTACCCTATGCTAGAGAAAAGTAACACATGCTAGACAATAGCCAACAGCCATGCAACAGGTGTCAGTGTGAAGGGTACTGTACACTTAATTTGATTTAATATTTGTATTCTGCTTTTCCAACAACAAATGTTGAGCTCAAAGCTGCTCACAATAATCACAATAGCATTAAAGAGCAAGAAGCATTGCAATCTCTATAATATCAAACACAGTCATATATAAAGCAAACAACAACAGTTGTATGTTCATAGGGCTCTGTTCATGGGGATGAGAATCCTGATAAGCCATACTTCATCTCCGAAGTATTCCCATACATTTGCATTCATATAGGACACCCTTCCCGCTTCACTTGGGCAGACACAGATTGTGTGCCAGCTAGGGGCATGGCCAGCACATACAGTGGTATCTAGGGGGTAGGGCTAGCTGGGTGCATTCCCAGAAACTCTGCTACATGTTCAGTACTCTTGGGTACCAAACACCTGAACAGGGCTAAAGGCGCCCTCTAATGTCCTCCTTCCCAAAGATAAGCTACTGTTTCTTCTTTCTTCCCATTTTCTACACAGTCACACAAGATGAAAAACACTGAATTTCTGCCACCACCTCCCCCGATTCTGTTGGTATTAAAGTATGGGTATGTACCGTGGAGAGATGCTTTAACTAATCTCTAAACTTAATCCTTCAATGTAATGAAAAATAGAATAGTTTCAGCACTATTTAGTTTTCTTAGTCCTGGCTGATGAGTAACTGCAAAAACTGGCACCCACATACGCTTTTAAATCTGTCTTTTGTCGGGTAGAAAATGGACAACACATAGAAGCTTTGAAGTCTCTCTTCTTCCCACTCATCAGAACACTTACAATCAGAGCAGAGAAGTGGGAAAGCTTTAGCTCCTCTTATGTTGAATCTAATACAATGTCTGCAAAGTTCTTGGCTTAAGCTAGGAAACACAACCAGCTATTTTTTGTTTATTGTCAGGCAACAAGAGCTTGAAGGGGGCTTTTGTTCTGTTACTTACTTGCTTCATAACAAATTAAAGTTGTGCCAGTGCAAAGTCTTTTTCACACTCCTACCTGGGCGTTTGGTACTAGCAGCAGGAGCAATGTAGGTCCTAAAGAAAAGGAAGGAACAGAAATGGGGACTATTTTCTGGAAGGGTAGGACACAAGTTTAACAAGTTAGTGAATAAAGAAGATTCATAGCCTTCTGTAGTCTTCACTCTCTGCGCTGATCTTAAGACCATTAGCTAGGATTTATTCAATTATGTGTTTGTGTTCTTTATCTTGTATTTTTGAGTTCTGACCCGCTCTAGGTTCAATGGATGAAGGGTGGTGTGTGTGTGTGTGTACACACACACACACCAGTGGGGGTATATGATCTTAGTGGGGTAACAGAAAATCGAATGAATTTAGAATGAGGAGCACTGATTTTATAATATTTGAGGAACACTGGCTTTCCATACAGATTTCATATAACAGAAAGTGTTGGAAAGAAGCCCAAAAAATAGAAGCCATGCATGATTTTGGAAAGCTCCTCCAGCCATAGGATAAATAAATTCTTGTTTCATTCACAGATAAAGCAAATCCAACGAAACAGTCTTAGACTAATCCATGGAATTATCAGTCACCTAATCCATCAAACAGCACCTCTTCCAAATTTGTGAAATTGCCTGAATTAAATGCAATGTTAGCCTAATTCATGAAATTGGCCATGCCGGTCATAGCTGTTAGACAAAGCACCACAGATTAGTAGAGTAGCTCTTGAGAGCCAGCCACAGCTCACTTGGTACCATTCATTCACATCTGACTTTATATCCCTGGTGAGCTACTGGGTATATGTTATAAAACATCAAAATTTCTAAAAGGTAGGGATCTATTCCCCCCAAAATAAAAGACATCTTTTCTGAAGGCCACACCAGAGGCATAGAAAATAATAATATGGGCACCCTGGCAGGTGCTCTGAAGCACATTCTGGAGCATCTAGGCTAGTATGGATGACAAATACATACCCAGTGTTTTAAACAGCCCAGCTGTGTTTGCATACAGTTAACCATGCTCACTTACTCTGTCCATGCATTTTTAAATTTGTAAGTAACTGTAAACTCACAGTCCAATGAGAATTTTTTTAAAAAAAAATAGTTATGGCAGCTCTGCTAATGGAGATTGTGTGAGAGCACAAGGAAAAGAATTGCTTCCAATTTTCTAGGATATGTGCCAACCTAAGAGGGAGGGATTTTATATTTTTTTTACAAAAATAATCAATCACAGCCTCATTCTTTATTGCTGAGCATTTATCTTTTAACAGTATGCTTCATAAACAGCCCAAGAGGCAGACTTAATGAGGGGAGCATAGCCAACATGGATGGAAATGTGAATATTAGGACAGAAAAGCTGGCAAGGGCAATAGGCACCAGTGGCTGACCTTCAAAACAGCTGTGCTGTCATTACATACTAATAAATGGCAATTTTGATTTCTTCTGTGACTGAAGTCACCCGGGTGTGCCCCAGAGTATGGGAGAGAACTTCTGAATGCCACACCGGAATGAAAGTTCTGCAGTGTCCCTGACCTCTCCTGATCTGACCCACATTTACTTAGAGCTATGTCTCACTGATTTCAAGTGCGCTAAAATTTTCAGCCTAGCATCAGCATTGCTTAATTAAGTTTTCTGGTTTAGCCTAGTCAGATTAGTGGGCCATAATAAAAGGACAATGTGGAATACTATATAAATCAGCAACCATTGCTACTACTTATACTTTACATTATGCCAGCAGGGAGCGCCCGGCACTGCCTGGGGATGTTTAGAAACAAAACAAGAATGTAATTTTTAAATGGATAACGTACCGTATTTTTCCATCTATAAGATGCCCCCATGTATAAGACACCCCCTATTTTGGGGGATTCAAATTTAAGAAAATGGGGGGAGATGGCCCCATGTATAAGATACCCCCTAATTTTTGACATTATTTTTAGGGGGGGAACCTAGTCTTTTACACGGAAAAATACAGTAATTTGTGAGTTTTGACCCATCACACCAAAAATCAGGTGAAGTCATGCTAAAGTCATGTTTCGATCCACCATTTTGATTCAAAATTCCAAGTGATGTCTGAATGCATAGAGGGAAAATGGACAACCCATTTTCCAAAATATATAGTAGATAAAACAGTGAGAAGAGTTTCTGTTATCCCATTTTATAAGTAAAGAACTGAGGCTATTGTTACACTTATTTAAAAATGTGGCCAAAATTGTCTTGTCAAATGCCATTCAGCGAGTCCCTAGCAGATATGTGGGTATGATTTGAATCCAGTTCTCTCATATCAAAATCCAACTTGCCTTCCACTGGATAGTCCAACTTCACTATCCATAGACAACTACCAAGATCTAACTTCCTTCCTTCCTTCTACTATATATTTTGGAAAGTTGTTTGTTCACTGTGTATTTGGACACCTCTTCAGGTATTACAATCAAATTTTGTGTGATTGTTCCTGAGATAAAGGAGTAAGTTTTCCTCTTTGCTTGGTTACAACTGGACACCACTCTGAATCAAGTTGGCAGACTGAATTGTTCAAGACTGCACTGAGTTTAAAACTGCACCAATGGTTTGGTTTCTTAGAAATCTCAAGCTGTGTCAGGTATGAAGCTACTACTGTGATGCATCTAGGGCAAGATTTTTCCAATGAATATACAGATGATTTCAGTTACCTTTTAAAACACTTCATACATTTAAGGCCCAACTGGATACCCAAATTCTTTTGCTATATCTTTGAGAATATGTAAGAATAGGTTTCTTCCCATCGAAAAAAAATCTGAAAATGGTACAATTGTTTGGCTGGAATATTTGATCAAGACATAGGAAGTTGTCTTATACAGAATCAGAGCATTGTTCCATCTACCTCATTATGGCTGACATTGATTGACAGCAGCTCTCCAAGGTTTCAGGCAGGAGTCTTTCTAAGCACAGGAACGGCACCTGGGATCCTTTGCATACAAAGTGTATGCTCTGCCATTGAACTACAGCCCTTCTGCTATCATCTTCATTAGTGCCACAGATATAGTAGACAACAGTAGTGAAATGTCCTATCCTGTAGTTAAGCATCCTTCTAACTTCATATTTTGTAACTAAAACTTCTGACAGATTAATAGTTGCTTTAAAATATGTTCAGAAGTTGTAATACAAGACTTAGCGTTTGTGTTTAGTAAAGGATATTTTAAAAGATATAAAAGACAGAACTATATCCATTAACTTCACGTATCAATTGGATGACCTGTGATTAAGTAACAGTAGGGAATCCTAATGATCCCCAGTGAGACTTGTGGTAGTGCAGAGCTCTCATTTTCTACTTTGCGATGTGGAAATGACAAGTAAACATGAATGAAGATGAGGCAAATTACGATTCATTGCAGAGCAGATCCAACAATTTCTCTAATAAGAGGTTATACCACAAATTTCCAGGGAAAAGAGATCAGCCGGAAAACTGGAGAGATGGAATCTATACAGACATTTTCTATAACCATCTGAATAAGTCTTTTCTGTCCCTATAGTAGGTTATTTGCATAAGAAATATGTATTGTATTACAGGAGAATAGTGGCTATGTTTAGGGATGTCAACTCCATAGTGTGTGTTCATATATTAAGACTGCTGGTGGTTTCCCCACTTAAAGCAGGGCTCAGGAACCTGTAGCCCTCCAGATGTTGTTGGACTCCAAGTCCCGTTAGCCTTAGCAGGATGGCCAGAGGTCAGGGGTGATGGAAACAGTAGTCCAACAACACCTGGACCACCACATGTTCCCCAACCCTGACGTCTAGGATCTCTAGTTCTCTAGAGGTGGAACTTCTGCCTGGAACCTGAAGGGTAGTTTTTAGTCAGCACAGATTAGCTGTAGGGAGCACTATAACAGGTACTGGCTACTAGGTGATTCATTCATCCAGTTTGCCTACCGCTCGGCAGATATAAAAAAAGTTTAAACTTGCCATCACAATTGTTCAGCACCATTTGCTGTTCTTTTTGATTTATATATAAATCATTTTTATTAGTTCTCCAATAGGAACATCCAGTTAACAAATCCATCAAATTATAATCCAATTAAAAATGAAACAACAACAAAAAAACAGCTAAATTACAATCCAAATTATTAATTATTAATTTTTCGGACATCCCATAGTCTGGACCTCTAACGTATATGTCAGGGAACTGCCATCGGAAGGAAGGGAGGTGAAAGGGCTCACACAGGTTGGGAGAGACTCAGCAGCTGAAGAGGGAACCAGTAGGGGGAGAGGAGCTGAGCTGAGGGAAAGTGAGCTGGAGGGATGGCTCAGAGACTCTTCCAGCGAAAACAGTGGGGAGGTTTCAGGACCTCCTGTAGGAACACCCACTCCTCGCCGGAAACTGTCACGCAGAGAGTCCAGAAGACGTGTTTCCGTTAAGGAGCTTTTATGTTGGAAGCGATTCCGAAGCAACCACTGTCGGAATCTGCTAGTGACTAGAGGAGCCATGTCTGAGGGGCTCCGTCACAGACAGAGGTTTGTGGACTTGAACAAACTCTGAGGGGATACTATTTTACGCACAAGCAGCTCATCATCCCATCACAGCATTCCGACAGTCTTTGAAAGCAGCTTGTGCAGGAGAAGGCATCATGAGCAACCCAGCCGGAACCGGAGAAGCAGGAGCTGGAGCGGGTCCAAGCCTGGAAGAAAGGTACCGGGTGTTGGAGGTCCAGCTAGCGCTGCAGACGGCGAGGCTTGAGGAGAGGAGGGCTCAGGATGCAGACAAAAGGGAAAGCCACCCAGCTCGCCAGAAAGGTACCAGGATTGGTGCAGAAGTTTGGGGGGGAGCCCAAAGACTATCATGGCTTTCGGACAGAGATGCAATATGCCCTCAATCTGCAGTTTGATGAATTCCCTGACGAGGAATCACGAGTGGCTTTCGTGATTGGGCATCTTGAAAAGGGGGCGAGAGACTGGGTTAGACCCCTGATGGCAGCGAATAGTGACGTCCTAAAGGACACGATGAAGTTCTTTCGCGCCATGGATCTGATGTTTTCCAGCGATATTGAACAGGGAGTGGTGCGCAGACAGTTAATGGCTTGCAAACAGGGGAGCCGATCTGTCCGTGAGTACTGGACTGAGTTCACCATGCTGGTTCACAGATTGGGGTGGGACTTATCGGCGGAACCCATTCAAATGCTCTTTGAAGAAGGGCTTTCTTCGGCTGTAAAAGACGAACTTTCCCGGGCGCCCAGGGCGGAGTCTATGGACCAGCTGACCAAATCAGCGCTGACCACAGGAGCGCGCCAGGAGGCGAGAGCATTGGAGAGGCGGGAAGGGAAGGGGGAACGTTGGAAGGAGTTCCGCATTCCAGACATTCCAGAGCCAACTTTCCCGCCGGCAGAGCCGATGGAAATCGGAACAGCGCGCGCGCGCGCAGTTTCAAAGCCCAGTGAAGGGGGAAAGAAGGAGGGAAAAGGCGCCCGGAAATGCTATCTCTGCCAACAGCCAGGTCACTTTGCCAGAGTCTGCCCCCAGAGGAAGGAATGGCAAGGGATGGTAGGAGCTGTGGAGGGAAGAGAGGAAGAAATATCGGAGCAAGTAAAAGCCAACGCCTGGCTGCCACCGTCGGGGCACAGCAGCCAGGCCAAAGAGCAGTGAGAGTGCCCACGCCAGAACCTCCTAAACCCGCCCTAGTGATAGAAGTGGCGCTAGAGCTGCCAAACGGACACCCTCTAAAGATAAAGGCGCTGTTGGACTCAGGCAGCTCCTGCAATTTCATGAGCAAAGAGTTTGCAGCTGAACACCAGATACAGACGATCCCTTTAAGCAACCCCTGCAGGTGACCACGATCGATGGCAGGGAGCTGTTGGGAGGAGAAGTCAGCTTGCAGACCGTCCCAATGATAATGAAGGTGGCAAGGCACACCGAACTGATAGCGTTTAATGTGGCCACCTTGGGAGGAGCTCCCATTATATTGGGGATGAGCTGGCTAGCGTTACATGATCCGCTGGTGGGCTGGCATCAGAGAGTGGTTTCTTTTGGTTCAGCACATTGCTTAGAACACTGCAAAGAGGGAAAGGGTTTGGCAGGGGCCCAAGCCACCCTAGCAGGGACTGAAGTAACGGAGAACGTGAAGGTACCACGACAATACGCAGATCTCCGCGACGTCTTCAGCGAAAGGAAGCTGACCAACTACCCCGCATAGACCCTTTGACTGTCAAATCAATTTACTCCCTGGGGCACAGCTCCCTGTAGGCAAGCTGTACGCCATGTCAGACAGAGAGATGCAGGAGCTAAGAGAGTTCATTGACAAGAACCTGAAGAGAGGGTTCATCAGAGAGTCCAGGGCGGTGGGGGCAGCCCAGTGTTTTTGTGGATAAAAACACGAACAAGCCGAGGCTGGTGTGTGACTTCAGGGCCTTAAATGCAGTGTCAGAACCAGTGGCCTTCCCTATGCCCAGGATTGACGACATTTTGACAAGGGTGCGGAAGGGAAAGATTTTCACAAAGCTGGACCTAAGGGGGGCGTACAACCTGATACGAATAAGGAAGGGGGATGAATGGAAAACCACCATGTTCACCCCTTTAGGGGCATTTGAATATTTGGTTATGCCCTTCGGCCTACAAGCAGGCTCCGCATGCTTTCAATCGTTTATGAACCACGTCCTGGGGCCTTTGCTTTACAAGAATTGTGTGGCCTTTTAGACGACGTGTTGGTGTATTCTGAGAATGAGGAGCAGCATGTGAGAGACGTCAGAGAAGTGTTGAGCAGGCTGCAAGCCAACCAGCTGTGGGTGAAACTGGAGAAGTGTCAGTTTCATACCAAGGAGGTGGAATTCCTGGGGTATCGCCTGTCAGACAAGGGATTGGCCATGGATCCCGGCAAGGTCCAGGCGGTGCTGGAATGGAAAACACCCAAAACAAGGAAGGATGTGCAGAGGTTCCTAGGATTTGGGAACTTCTATCGTAAGTTCATCCGAAACTTTGCCCACCTGACGGCGCCCATTACGGACTGTCTCAGCAGTAAGAAGAAGTTCGTTTGGACTGAGGAGGCGGAGCGAGCATTTGAGGAACTAAAAGGGCCTTCGCCTCGGAACAACAACTCCTGCATGTGGATTTACAAAAACCGATGAGAGTGGAAACTGACGCATCAGACAGAGCGATTGGGGCGGTGCTTCTGCAGCCAGGGAAGGAGGAGTCAGAGTGGAGACCGTGTGCTTTTTTCGCGAAAGCTGAACAAATCCGAGAGGAACTACACGGTGTATGACCGAGAACTACTAGCCATTCATGAGGCGTTCCGGAGATGGAGGCACCTGCTAATTGGCGCACAACATAAGGTGCAAGTGTGCACTGACCACAAGAACCTAGAGTATTGGAGGACGGCACGAGTGCTCAACCAACGGCAAGTGAGATGGGCCCAGGAGTTCTCCAAATTTAACTTTGAGATTGGTTACGTGCCAGGCCCAGAGAACATTAGGGCGGACGCTCTCTCACGCAAACCTGAATATTTGGAGGGGAGGGAGCACCCAAGAGAGACATGTCATTCCAGAGGACCGCTGGGTGTGTGGGGCGGCATTGGTGGGACAAAGAGAACTGGTAGAGGAAACAGAGAATGATGAATACGCCCAGAATAAGCTCAGAGGTCTTAGGGGGGATGGAGCGGACCCAGGGGGTTTCGAGGAAAGAAATGGAGCTTGGTATTACAAAGGGGCACTGTATATCCCTGAAGGAGACTTAAGGGGGAGGGTACTCAAGCAGTTGCACGACAGCCCTACGGCGGGGCATTTTGGACAACACAAAACCATGTGGTTGGTCACCAGGGAATTTTGGTGGCCTAAAGTGAGGGAAGATGTACGTGAGTATGTAAGAGGGTGCGAGCAATGCCAGCGAGCCAAAGGGGAAAGGCGGGCGCCGGCGGGGCTATTAGAACCCTTACCAACCCCAGAACGACCTTGGGAGGCAGTGTCGATAGATTTTATGACTGATCTGCCGAAGTCCAAAGGGAAAACAGCCATCATGGTGGTGGTAGACCTACTAACAAAGATGTGCCACTTTGTAGCTTGCTCGCATGCAGTCACGGCGGAAGAGACAGCGAAGTTATTGTAGAACACATTTTTAGGTTGCACGGGGTGCCATTGAGGGTGGTCTCAGACCGAGGAAAACAATTTACTTCCAGGTTCTGGAGGAAGCTCATGAGCTTACTGCAGGTGGAGGTCAATTTTTCGACTGCCCGGCACCCTGAAACCAACGGGCAGGCGGAAAGAGCAAACGGTGTCCTCCAGCAATACCTGAGGTGTTATGTCAATGACAGAGAGAATGACTGGGTAGAAAAGTTGGCGCTGGCGGAATTTGCCTACAACAATGCCGAGAATGTGTCCACGGGGATGAGCCCCTTCTTGGCTAATTATGGGTGTCATCCCAGGGCTTTCCCAGGGGGGGGGGGAGAGGGGGGAGATGGAGCGTCCCGGCAGCCGAGCATTTTGTGGAAGAAATGGAAGCAATCCATCGTCAGCTCCAACTCAACTTAGAAAGGGCGAAGGAAGAATACAAGAGGCAGGCAGACAAGAACCGAAGGGAAGGTGAAACCATAAGGGTGGGAGATAGGGTGTGGCTGTCAACCCAAGGGTTGCCGTTCAAAGGAGGTTGTAAGAAATTAAGACCCAGGAGGTTGGGTCCCTTTGAGGTCATTCAACAGGTCAACCCAGTGGCTTTCAGACTCCGGTTACCCAACCACATGAAACTGCACCCAGTATTTCACAGGTCGTTACTGTCACCGTACGAAGGGGGACGAGAAGGGATGGCCACTCGGGGACCGGTCATAGAAGAAAGAGAACGCAGCAGCCATGTGGCAGAAATCCTCGACGCCAGGTGGAAGGGGGATCAGGTGGAGTATTTGGTAGCGTGGGAAGGAGAACCGGAGTCAGAAAACACTTGGGTAATGGCCGAAGATATCAATGACGAGGTATTGATAGAAACGTTCCATCAAAGGTTCCCAAGGAAACCTCAGCCTGTGGAGAGGTTCCGGAGGGAATACTTTGGGACCACTGATGAGGAGGAGGAGTTGGAAGGATTCCCGGACTCGGAAGGGGAGGGGAGAT